GTCCATCCTCATGTCACGCATTTTGGACACTAGCTCTGTCAGCACCCTGGAGAGGGACCTGCAGGTCACTCAAAGGTCACAGCTCAGCCAGCCTTGGACACGGACCAGCCTATAGCCCCACCCCCTCCACCAACATGCCAGCCCAGCCGAGGGCCACTGACCGATCAAAGATGGCTCCCACACCCGCAGAATGGGCTGAGTTGCGGTGCACGTGAAGACCTGTGGCAAGGAGGATGCCGTCGCGAACATCAATGGATCGGTGGGAGAAGGAGGCAATGAGGAGCTCGTTCCAGCCTGGGTAGGGTAGCAAGGGTCAGGACAGGGATAAGGCCATGGGATTCAAAGTACATCGGTGGAAGAGAAGAAGAAAAGAAGTGGCCAGGTCAGCTAGCTTGGCTCCCTCAGTATGCAAGGTATGGCCACTGGGGTCACTAAAGGTCAGGAGGTCAAAGAGATCCAAGGTCACTGACCTGCCCGCAGCAATATGACCTGGTCATCCAGAGGTAAGGAGGAAAAGTGTGGGATCCTCTTCGCCCACTCAACAAGCGTGAATAGTTGCTTGTCAGCTGCCTGACAGATGTTAGTCACGGGGTCATTTGGCTGCAGGGGACGGAGGGTAGGAGTTATGGAAGGTCTGGAGGTATACTGGCAGCCTCCTTGTAAGAGGCTTTTGACACCCCTTCCTTATATATAGTCTTCCCTCAAGCCCCAACTAAACCAATCCCTATGAGTCAGACTTCTTTTCTGGCATTAGTGTAGATGATTACTTATTTGGGACCTGCCTGTGGTCCTGCCAGTGGGTTGTTTGGGGAGTAGGGACAGAGAAGCTATCACACCCACCTCAGGTGTTTGAAAGACCTTGTTTGGCCACACTTCCAGTCCCAAGCAATGTTAGGTGGGTTGTGAAGGGAAGGGGGGGTACATAGAACAGACTCCCTCCCCCAACACCCCGTCACGAAGAAGAGTGGATTAACCCCATCACTCACACTGCTGCCGCTACCCCCGGTTCCCCCAGGACCCTCCACGCTCTGGTCACTCTTCTGCTCCACAGCAAGTTCTGCCTCCAGGATCCTGTCCACAGGCATCTCCTCAGGGGCTCCCCCAGCCCCCTCCCCATCCCCGTCCTTGTCCTTCCCCCGCTGACGCTCCTCTTGTACCGCTGCGGGGTAGGAGGGGGAGAAAAAATGGAAAATCAGCAGCCAGCCATGAAGGGGTTCCGCAAATATCCTTAGGGCCTTATCAGTGTGTCATGGCCCTTGGGAGATATTTATAGGAATTGGGGAAGTCACTAGAAACAGTGGACTGGAGGAAGCCTAGAAATAGGGGTTATAAAAGGGCAGATAAATAAGTCAAGAAGAAGGTAACAGGAGGGTAAAGGAATTAAGGAAGAATTTAAATGGAGGCCTACTACATGCTAAAAAAACATGCCAAGAAACATGCTAAGCACAGTTTAACATTCACCCAATTATCATAACAATGCTGTGAGCTCGTTCCCATTTTCAAAGATGAAGAACTTGGGACTCAACGAGATTAATTAAACAGTCTGCCTACACAATACATGGCAGGTCACACAAATGAATCCAAGTGTGCCTGACTACAAATCTTGTGCTCTTCTGACTCAACAAAATAGGCAGTAAAAGCAGTATTGGCCTGGGTCTTCACAGATGTGGGCTCTCATCCCAGCCCCACCACTCTTTTGTGCGAGACCTTGGGAAAGCCAGGCCTCAGGCTCATTTTCTCTAAAATGAGGGATTTGACCAAGATACTCTCTAACGTGTCTCTCTCAGAACTTCAGGAATCTGCTTAAGACAGGATGGAAACACAGAAGAGGGAAGGCAAGTCCTGAGATCTTCAGTAAAGTCTATAGCTTATGAGAGTGTAGGGTCCCAAGAGTCAGAGGAAACACCACAGATAACAGGAAATGGAGACCAGAGAAGGTACATGGGATCAAGGAGAGGAGGGACTACTCAGATTAGAAAAGGGGGAATAAAAAGTCCCATTATGGGTGAGGAAAAGTTATCCTACCCTAGGACCAAACTGGGGAGGGGTCATAGGTACAGGCCACACAGGCAGAACCATTAAGAAGGAAACTCAAAGGCCAGAGCAGAGTACCAGGGAGAAGAGTTGATGAGGAGGGGAAAGAGAAATCAAATATCGCCCTCTAGAGGGGAGAGAGAACAGTAGGCCTTCCTGAGAGATACAGAGCACGTGGTTTCCTTCAATCTCCCCTTTCCTTGCCCCCTCCTCCTTCCTCCCTCATTGAGTGGGGTGTGAGAGAAAGGGCCTGTGGTCTAGGAAGCCTGGGTGGGCAGGTCCTTACCCTCCCTCTTCATGCCTGTGGCCAGGCACTTCTGATAGCGGCAGTACTGACAGCGGTTCCGCTGGCGCTTGTCCACCGTGCAGTCTTTGTTGTCCCGGCAGGAGTAGGTGAGGTCCTTGCGGATGGTGCGCTTGAAGAAGCCCTTGCAGCCCTCACAGCTGTAAACCCCGTAGTGTTTGCCTATATGTGGGGAAGAAGAGAATTAAGAAGGTTGCACGGAGATCCCTTCACCATTAAGTCTCTTGCCAATCTCCCCCCTAGCAAAACTTAATTTAAATCTTCCTGTGTTTGCCAAATACAGAGCTGGGGAACCAGGAAGTGGGGGATAATCTAGCCCAACTCTCCTCACTGTTCAGAAACCCTCTCATAGCCCCCTTTTCCCTCTGACCAACCCCCACCTCATCCCACATCTGAGCTTCAGGTTCCTTACTCTCATCAGGCCTCCCCCACGTAACTTGCTCTGACCCAACCCCATAAGCCCTTGGTAATCCCACAGGTGATGGTAAATGTCCCAGACTCTTTCTTTCTTTCTCTCTGCTGATCTTCTGAGCCCCATACCTGAGCTTCTGTCCCCACAGATTGCACAAAGCCGTTTGCCAGCTCCAGGGCCACCTGGAGGGGGTGGACAGTGCAGGCCCCGGACCCCTAAGACTGGTGGCTTCACATCTTCAGGGGGGCCAGACCCACCCCCAGGGAGCGACACTGTTGAGTTAATCTGGGATGGGGGAAATAGGGAAGTCACAGGAAGACTCATTGGGAGGGAGAATCTTGCAGAAATGATGGAAATCACACCCTACCACTAGGCAGGGCCCTGCATTGCACATTCCAGAGGGCATTATTTACACTGCAGTCTATGTGAAGGGCCATCCCTGGAACACAACCCCAAAGAGAACAGATATAAACAGTCCCCCCTGAAACTGTAACACAGTGGCCCTGAAGGGCATGTGTCTTGGAAGAGCAGATGGGATCAAAAGGGCAGAAAATCACGGATAGATCAATAGGATACCAAGAATACTAGGGTTCTTTTATAGCGTTGGAAGGAAGCATGCACTGAAGGATCAGTCACCTCAGGAAGGGCAAGGGGTCTCATAAGGACCACAGGCCTGCCAAGATTAGAGGACTGGAAGGTCAGTGGGCCATGGGGAAGTTCACACAAGGATCTGGGGTTATAAGGAAAACAAGGAAATGAAAGTGGAGAGGCAGTTAAGTGGGTCACAACCTCTCACCTGGGGGCTGCTGACAGGCCCGGAGAATCCTGGGGGAGCTGGAGGGGGCAGACCAGGGGACCCCATGGAAGAACTGATGACTGGGAAGGGGGAGCCCAATGGGGGTGGTGGCATAGGGGGTGGAGGTGGCGCCCCAGAGCCTCCAAGGGATGAGGCTGCCGAAGGGGGTAGGGGTGGCCCAGGAGGAGAAGGGGGAGGGACTCCCTGGGAAAGGGGATTTGGGGAGGAGCTGTCTGGACTTCTAGAGTCTGAGAGAGGGGTACAAAGAGGCACAGAGACACACAGAGACAGGAGAGACAAAAAGAAAAAAATGAGTCTTTGATCATCCACTGGAGACTTTAATTCTCTAATCCCCCACCCTGCCCCTACCCAGCCCACAGCACCCATCCCCAAATCCAGAGACCACCTCCTGTCAAACAACACTGTGACTCCTAATTGTGGTAAGAGGTGGGGGCTGACAAAGGAGAGGAGAACAGTTCAGGTGAGGAAAAATTCCAAGCCATGCGTCTGAATGAATGCCAGGTCACCCCAAGCCAGACGTGTCTCGTGGGTGGGGCAACACGTGGGGTGGACCATCCAACCCCTCCATTCCCAGCTTATAGCGGCGTGCAGAGGAAAGAGATAAGGGGAAGAGACCCCTTCTAGGACGCGGGATCTGCCTTCAAACGTCCAAAGTCCTCAAGCTCAAGGGGAATCGTGTCCTTCCCACGGCTGGGACCTACGATGTACGGGGCCTCAAGCGGCCACGGCTAGCAGGGCGGAAGCTCCCCCCTCCCCGCCCCGCCCCGGGGAGGAGGGCGCTAAAGCCTTCGGGAGGGAGGGGACGCGTGTTTACAAACAAGGGGGCGGGAGCGCCAAGGAAAGAGCACCGGGGGAGAGCGTGGGGGGAGGGGTTGCAGATAACGCGGTCAGTAGCTTGCCCGCCCGTCCGCTAGGACACTCACCCCGCCCGCTGTCGCCCATCCCGTCCCGTCCAGCCTCCCCCGGCTCCGGCTCCGGGGTTTGTTGTTCTCCGGCCGCCGCCGCCGCCGCCGCCGCGGGATCCAGCCAGGGCCGTCGCCGCCGCCACCGGGACGCGACCCCACAATGCATTTCTTTTCGCACCCCCACCGGCCCACACTGCCCTGCGGCATGCCGCTGGGGGAGGAAGGGCGGGCGAGCGGCCCAAGACATGATCGCTGGCTGAGTGTAGGGATAACGAAGAGGTGCAAGGGATTCTCAAGGATTGATCGGAGGACTAGCTGAGCACGAGGAAGGCCCTGAGAAAACGACTCTGGCCCGGATCGGGTCGAATTAAGCTCTTCGCTCTACTCTGTACCAAAATGACAGCGCCGATGTGGCAGCCATCTTTGTACAGACGGGAAGTTTCGGCGCTAGTTCCCGCCCCCTCGTCTAGTTGGAAACGGAGGAGGCGGTCTCCTCTGGCCTGTTAGGCCGCCTCGCCCACCCTCCCCTCAAATAACCTCCACGCTTGCGCACGCGCGTCAGGGCAGGGTGGCTTCGCCGCTACCGGAGTACCACCATATTGGTAAAGGTATCAGGGCGAAGGTAGAACGGAACTTCCTGTTCTCGCGTGAGCTTAAGGTGGGACTGCCACGTCCGAGCAAACCGGGAAAGAAGAGAGGATCCCGAGCCGGTGAGAATTCCCTGCTTTTCCCTACGGTCCTTTCCAGGCCTTTTCCCCACCTAATGGGTCGTAGAGACGAGGGTCCAGAAGTTCATAAAGTGGTGGGTCAAAGTCTAGAGTGGTGTCCCAGGGGCCCAACATCTGGGAGGGGGTTCGGGATAAAGTGAACGAGTCTTGGAAACAACGTGGGTGGGGACATAATGGAATTGGGGAGCGGCCCATAGAGACGGACGGAGGGAGCGATTGGAGTAAAGCGGACCCTGCATAGGTATAGAGCTGAGAGTCAAGTGGAATCACTGTCTCTGTCCCTCTGGTCAGCGTGATGGCCAGAGACCTGGGGGCCCCCCACTGGGTGGCCGTGGGACTGCTGACCTGGGCAGCCTTGGGGCTGCTGGTGGCCGGACACGGGGGTCATGGCGACCCGCACGAGGACCTGCAAGAGGACTTCCATGGCCACAGCCACAGGCACTCACATGAGGATTTCCACCATGGCCACAGCCATGCCCATGGCCATGGCCACACTCATGAGAGCATCTGGCATGGGCATACCCACAGTCACGACCACGGACATTCACATGAGGATTTGCACCATGGCCATAGCCATGGCCACTCCCATGAGAGATTCTACCACGGAGAACATGGACATGACCATGAGCATAGCCATGGAGGCTATGGGGAGTCCAGGGCTCCACGCATCAAGCAGGACCTGGACACTGTCACTCTCTGGGCCTATGTGAGTCCCCAGGGGATGGGGGAGAGAGGAGCTGGTTCTGGATTGTTGGAAAACTACGCACTATTTGACCCCTGACTCTCCCTCTCCAGGCACTGGGGGCCACAGTGCTGATCTCTGCAGCTCCATTTTTTGTCCTTTTCCTTATCCCTGTGGAGTCAAACTCCCCCCGGCATCGCTCTCTACTCCAGATCTTGCTCAGTTTTGCTTCTGGTGGGCTCTTGGGAGATGCCTTCCTTCACCTCATCCCTCATGCTCTGGGTAAGTAATCTCTGACTTTTACCCAAATCTTAACCTATTTTATTCTTTGGGGAAAAAGGGTTCTTTCTCCTTTGTAATTCCTGACCTTCCAGTACTCCCCCAAATATATTACACCCTATTGATCAGATATTCGCTGATTTGGGTTTTGTTCTCCCTTCCAGAACCTCATTCTCACCACCCTCTGGAACAGGCCGGACATGGACATTCCCACAGTGGTGAGAAAGAGAGAGATGGGGATGGGAGTTGGGGTGCTAGAGGTCTTTCTCTTCCTATTCTTCACCTCCTGCACTTGAGGAGGAGTCTGGAATCCACATCTCCCTTAATGTCTCAATGCCTCCATTCCCAGGCCAGGGCCCCATTCTGTCTGTGGGACTGTGGGTTCTCAGTGGAATTGTTGCCTTTCTTGTGGTGGAGAAATTTGTGAGGCATGTGAAAGGAGGACATGGACATAGTCACGGACATGGACACACTCATGGTCACACACGTGGAAGTCATGGACATGGAAAACAGGGTGAGCTCAAGAACAACCTTCTTGCCTCAGAATCCCCTCATCCTATGGCTCTCAGGAGGGAGAGGATATGTCAGAAGATCTCTGTTCCCCACTCTGACCAACTCCTTTCTTCTCTCAGAGCGTTCTTCGAAGGAGAAACAGAGCTCAGAGGAAGAAGAAAAGGAAGCAGGGGGCTTGCGGAAGAGGAGAGGAGGGAGCACAGTACCCAGAGATGGGCCAGTGAGACCTCAGAACCCTGCAGAAGAAAAAACAGGCTCAGGTAAGGGCCCAGGGATTGGTGAGCATTATCATGAATCACATGGAATATGGGCCGTGGGTAATGACAGACAGCTGTCTGGGAAACACTAAGGGGCTGGGTGTGAAGTAGACTCTGAGGAGAGATGTGAGAATGGCCAGGACTGGGACTGGTGGTGGTGGATGCCTCTGATCATTTTGTCTTCTTGTCCTATACAAGATCTGCGTGTATCCGGGTACCTGAATCTGGCTGCTGACTTGGCTCACAACTTCACAGATGGTCTGGCCATTGGTGCTTCCTTTCGAGGGGGCCGGGGGCTGGGGATCCTGACCACAATGACTGTCCTGCTACATGAAGTGCCCCATGAGGTCGGGGACTTTGCCATCTTGGTCCAATCTGGCTGCAGCAAAAAGCAGGTTGGTGATAACGTCTACCAAACATGGTTGCCTTAAACCCTTTATTTTTGCTCACTCACCCAAAACCCCAAACTGCCTTTCATTAGTTCGAACAAGTCATACTGTCATTGACAACAAATCCTCTAGAAACAATGGGGAAAAAGTTCTGTTTTCTTTGTCCCAGAGCTTGTTATTTCTTAAACTGGTCTGTAAACCATCTGAATGGTTTATGGGGGGGTCTTACACACACACACACAACACACACACACGCCTACTACATCAGAAGATCTGTGGAAAAGACCTCTTTTTTTTTTTTTTTTTTGAGACAGAGTCTCACTCTGTTGCCCGGGTTAGAGTGCCGTGGCTTCAGCCTAGCTCACAGCAACCTCAAACTTCTGGGCTCAAGCGATCCTCCTGCCTCAGCCTCCCGAGTAGCTGGGACTACAGGCATGTGCCACCATGCCCGGCTAATTTTTTTTTATATATATATTTTTAGTTGTCCAGATCATTTCTTTCTATTTTCTTGCTCAGGCTGGTCTCGAACTCCTGACCTTGAGCGATCCACCCGCCTCGGCCTCCCAGAGTGCTAGGATTACAGGCGTGAGCCACCGCGCCCGGCCTGGAAAGGACCTCTTTGATCTACAAGATTTTTCAGAAATTATCTATTCTAGACTTTTATCTTGCTTTTCATTTTCCAAAGACATATACCCTACATCTATATATCTGTACCCCACCAACCACTTCTAAACCACTAATAATCTTTAGCTGTTGGTGAGTGCCTCTCTCTCTTTTCTGCCCACCAGGCGATGCGTCTACAACTGCTGACAGCAGTAGGGGCACTGGCAGGCACAGCCTGTGCCCTTCTAACTGAAGGAGGGACCATAGGCAGTGAAGTTGCAGGTGGTGCAGGTCCTGGCTGGGTCCTGCCATTCACTGCAGGTGGCTTTATCTACGTAGCAACTGTGTCTGTGTTGCCTGAGCTGTTGAGGGAGGCGTCACCATTGCAATCACTTCTGGAGGTGCTGGGGCTGCTGGGGGGGGTCGTCATGATGGTGCTGATTGCCCACCTCGAGTGAGAGGTGGGATAAATCACCTCACCCCTGTCCCAAACCTCTGCCCCTAACTCCAGGTCAGGGGTCTGTGGAAGTTGGAGGCCATGGCCAGGGACATCTGCCAAAGGAAGGAATTGTAACCTAGGAGAATGGTGACTTTGGCATTAGGGCCTTCAAGATTTGGCAGTCTTCCTGGGGCTGTAGAGGTGAGAATGAGAGGCCAGAGGGACCATAGTGTTGGGCACTGCTTGACCATGTTGTTGGGTTTGGAGGGCTAAATGGGGCCATGAAGAAGGTCGGAAGGGAGAGGGGTGATGGCAGCCTACCTGGTGTCGCCTACCCTACCTGTTCTCAGAGGACCAAGCTGCTATGCAGAGGGTTCTCCAAGGTCCACCTCCATGTCTCCCACCAGTTGGTGGGGGCTTCAGAGAAGACCAGAGCCATGGACAGAGGGGGTAAAGGAGGAGTCTGGGATAAACATCAATTAAACATCAATCGTGTGTCCTGATTTGGGGGGATGGGGAGAGGGTTAGTTGGTAATTTCATGGCCTGATTTTTTTTGTTTCTATTCTTTTTATATCACTGTGTTTGAATCGAGGGGGAGGGTGGTGACCAGAAATAAAGTCCTCGGATCTTCCACCCCACATGCAGTCTTTTGTCTTTTTTGGGGGGAATGGGACCCTTGTCTTCCCCACTCCCCGGGCCCCCAAGCGGTTGTGTCTGGCCACGCCCTCGCGGTGGGAGGTCGGCCTGCGCTGGTGGCCGCAGATGGCCTAAGGCTGCCTGGGCTTCTATTGGCCCCGGCTTTGTCTTAGCCTCGCCCTCTCTCCGCTCGGATTGGCTCGGTGCGGGGGTGCCCGCCCACCCGCAGCCACGATGGCGACTCAGATCCCGCTCAGGCTCCGCTCCGCGCTGGCCCTGGTCACAGGTTGAGGGGGTGTTCTCCCAGGGCGGGTTGGGGTGCCGGAGTACAGGGGTGCGGCCGCTGTAACCTCTGGCTCCTTATCCAAATTTTACTAACTCTGCGCCCCGTGACCCCCTGCCCACTCCCCCCCCGCGTGTTGTCTCCTACCTCAGGTGCGGGTAGCGGCATCGGCCGGGCGGTCAGTGTGCGCCTGGCCCGAGAGGGGGCCGCCGTGGCCGCCTGCGACCTGGACGGGGCAGCGGCACAGGAGACCGTGCGGCTGCTGGGCGGGCCGGGGAGCACGGAGAGGGTGCCCGGAGGGCACCACGCTGCCTTCCAGGCTGACGTGTCTGAGGCCAGGACCGCCAGGCGCCTGCTGGAACAAGTGCAGGTGAACGCCAGGCAACCTTGCCCCCTTTAAAGCTGTAACGTTGCCTCCACTGCTCCCGGCTCTTTGTGTTTTTTATTTTAGTGTGTAACCTACCCCTCCTATAGGCCTGCTTTTCTCGCCCGCCATCTGTCGTTGTGTCCTGTGCGGGCATCACCCGGGATGAGTTTCTGCTCCACATGTCTGAGGATGACTGGGACAAAGTCATAGCTGTCAACCTCAAGGTGGTGACCTCTGAACCTGTGACTTCTGCCCAACCCCCCAGCCTGGGGAGGCAGTAGGAGGAGGGCTGTCGCCCCAGCTGATCTCTTCTGCCTTGTTAACCTTTCCTGCCAGGGCATCTTCCTAGTCACTCAGGCTGCAGCCCGAGCCCTGGTGTCCAGTGGTTGTCATGGCTCCATCATCAACATCAGTAGCATCGTAGGAAAGGTCAGGTTGAGTTGGGACAAGGTCAGCCAGCCAAGTAGGCATAGAGAGGAGAGCCCCTTCTGGAGACTCCCCATTCATCCCAGATCTCTGGCTCACCCATAGGTGGGGAACATGGGGCAGACAAACTATGCCGCATCCAAGGCTGGAGTGATTGGGCTGACCCAGACTGCAGCCCGGGAGCTTGGACGGTTGGTGACACGCTTGAGGGTGCTGGGGAGCTTTGCTGAGGCATGTGTGGGTCTGAGGGAGGGGTCAGTATTTAGTCCTCTCCAGAGTCAGCAGCCACTCTCCTTCCCACAGACATGGGATCCGCTGTAACTGTGTCCTCCCAGGGTTCATTGCAACACCCATGACACAGAAAGTGCCACAGAAAGTGCTGGACAAGGTAGGAGGCTGTGGGTGGAAGGCAGAATCATTCAGAGACTCAACCTCTCTGGGCTTCACAGAGAGAGAATGCGGACATAGTGCCTGGCAAACAATAGGCATTCAAAAAATGTATGAGGCATCAAGACAAAAAAGGGTCACAGACTAAGTTTTCAAAAAATCCATAAAAGAAACTTTTAGCCACATACGAGTGTTTCCTTACAGGTGACCAGAATGATCCCGATGGGACACTTGGGGGACCCTGAGGGTGAGCTCTGAGTGGGGAGGAGGGCCTGGGGAGGGTGCCTAAATGAAGAGATCTCAAGGTTTGTGGTATTTTTGAGAGATTGGTGGTTGGGGTGCGTATGTGTGTGGGTTGGGGGAGGGGATGTCTTCGGTGGGAGATGATGGCTACTTCGTGTCTATGGGAGTGAGTAGGATTCTGCCCTCTCCCCACCATTCCCATAGATGTGGCAGATGTCGTCTCATTCCTGGCATCTGAAGACAGTGGATACATCACAGGGGCCTCAGTGGAAGTCACCGGTATGAGGCCAGCATGGGCAGAGAGAGGGCGGAGAACTGGAACTCAGACGATATGAGAAAGCAAGTGAGGGGAGTCTGAAGCCACTGTGGGAAGGGCAGAGGTTCTGAGGCCAGGGACAGAAATGGGCTCCCCCCAGCCCATTTGTCTCTCCACCCATGCATCTGTCCAAATGTTTCTGCCCTGCCAGGAGGTCTTTTCATGTAACTGCCTCAAGGACCCTGGACTCTGCTTACTCTCCCACCACTCTGCTCAGCCTCCTGCTGATGAGGACTCTAAGTTCCCAGGCTACAAAAGGGGTGGCAGTGTATGGCTCAGGAATGCTGAATATGGGAGGCAGGGGTGCTTGTGACCCTAATAAATTCCAAATCCTCTTCCCTGCCACCTCCGGTTCTTCTTGTGTCCAAGCTCTCAGACCCTACCCCACCTCCCCCTCCTTTCCCTTTCCTGAAGGATTGTTCCCTTTCACTGCCTGGTCTCCCAGGGCAACCCCCGCCGCCGGGTGTGAGAGGAAAGAGTGTGTGTCACTGTGTATGCGTGACACTCTAGGTCTTTTTGGAGGGAGGGGTTTCTGCATCACCCCCTTCCACTGGTTCTTCAGCACCACTCCTCGCCCCCTAGTTCCCTGGGCCCTTATGGTCCCCAAAGGTGATTTGTTCATGGCCCTATCCCGGTGTCCAGTCTGGCCTTGAGAGGGGGTCTTGGAACAGGTGGCCCTCCCCCACCCCTCTCTTTTCTCTGAGTCACCCCTCCCCTTTCTCTCCACCTTACAATAGCAGCAGCCGGCCTGGGGTCGGATGGGGGGGATTAGAGGAGGGGGCCAGGATTAGGGGAATGAACTAGCCGATGAAAGGGGCTGGAGGAGAGCAGAAGGGAGGGGGCTGGGAGGAGGAGAAGGAAGGGGCGGGGGTCCGCGCTAATCGACTCTGGCTCCCACATAAGGACTGGCCACGGACTGAAGGAGAGGACAGGGAAGTAGGGGGGAACCGGGCTGGGGGGCAAGGGGACCCATTGCTGCCTTGTTCCAGAGACAAGCCACCCCCTGGCAGCTGCAGCCCAAGTCCGGGAGCCCCAGCTCGGGCTGGCGGGGACAGGACACCCACCACGGTCTCCCTCATCCCATCCCCTACCCTCAATGAGGATCGCTCTGCCCCTTCCTCTTCTCTTTCCTCCCTGTCCCCTTCCTTTACTTGAGAGTCCTGGAAGAGGCTTCTGCCCACTTCCCACTCCAGACATTCCGCCCCTGTGTCTCCCACCTACACACGCACCCCCCCACGGGGGCCCCATCCTCTGCGTGTCCCTGCTTCCGCGTGGTGTCTCCGTCCCCCCCGTCCCTCCCGTGCGCCTCCCTCCCGCGCCCCGGGCCGCGGCTCTTGATTGTCCAAACGCAATTCTCGAGTCTTTGGCTCCGGCCGAGAGTTGAGTCTGGACGTCCAGAGCCGCCGCCCCCAAACCTCGAGGGGGAGAGCGGGTTGGAGGGTCCAGGGAGACCCAAAGCGGAGGGCGGAGGGTGGAGCAAGTCCCCGGGGAGATAAGGGGAATCCTGGGTACATCTGGACCTAGTTGCGTTCACAGGACTGTAGGGCTAAAACGGCAGAGGATCTTTCGCAGCTTTTTCCCCCGGGATCCTGGGCTGGGGTTTCGGAGAAGTTGTGTGTGTTGCGGGGTGTGTCGGGGGTGGGTGGAGGGGTGATCCTCAGGGTCGCCGGGGGACTCAAAGTCGGGGAGATGGCCCCTTTCCCGAGCCCTCCGTCCCCTCCCGGGGTCTGAGAGATCCCAGGCCCCGCCCCCGGAGCGGAGGCCCCGGGTGGGGGCATCGGGTAGGGAACGGCGGCCAAGGTTGTTGGCTGCGCGACGCTGCCGGGCCGGGGGCTGAGGCCGTGGTCCCCACGTGGCGCAGGACTCCAGGGACGTCGGCTCCTCACGTGGGGCGGGCGCGTCTCGTGGGTGGGGGAACCCCCGCGTCCACGTCCCGTCCCACCCGCGCTGCGAGTGGCGGATGACGTCCCCGCCGGCGGGGAGTGGAGTCGGGGGGGGGCAGACGGAAGTGACGTAGGGCCCCAGCGCCCGGGCCATGGCGGCGGCGGCGGCGGCGGCGGGAGCTGCTGTCTGAGCAGCGGCTGCGGACCGAGCGAACTCGGCCCAGGAGCCCGGGCCTCGAGAGGGGCGCGGTGGCAGCGGGAGCGCGGACTGCCGGAGCCGGGTGAGGGGCAGCGGGGCGGGGGAGGAGAGGGGCGCCGCTGGAGGGGCGGGGTCTGCGTGAGGGCGGCCCCCCTAACACCCTCCTCCCCACCTCCCCAGCCTTCCTCTCCTCCTCCACCGCAGCGGAGCCCTGGTGGGTGTCTGTGCCCGGTCACCATGACGACGCCGGCGAATGCCCAGAATGCCAGCAAAACGTGGGAACTGAGTCTGTACGAGCTGCATCGGACCCCGCAGGTGACAGGGACTCTCCTTTCCCAGCTTACCCCCTCCCCCCAAACCCCTCGATCCACAGACCCCATCACACAGCCTCTTTTTCATTCTTTGCTCTGTTCAGCCCTGCTTGATTCCAGACTCCCTGGTCCTACCTTTGAATCACCTTAATCTTTCAAAGCACTTTCACATTTAACTCATTTGATCCTCAAAACAACCCTGCCAGAGAGGTAGAGTAAGTATTACTATCTTCATTTGAAAGATAGTAAACAGACATAGAAATTACCTTCCTGTTCCTCAGTTCAGCATCATAGGTCAGTGCATATAAGACTCACTTTGGGAGTTTATTAAAAATAGAGCTTCATGCCCTCTAACATTCTGATGCAGTAGCGGGATGGGGCCTCAGAACCTGCATTTGTAACAGGCACCCTAGGGGATTCTGATATAAGTAGTACCAGGACCACACTTTAAGAAATTCTGTTGAATGAATTTTTTCCAAACCACAGATATGTACCCCCCCCCCAGGTCTCTCACCAAACCTCAGATCCTCATAGTCTAAAGCTACTCTTAGTCAATGGATACTACTACTTTGTGCTCTCCATTCTCTCCAAGTCAATGGGCCCCCTCTTTCTCTGAATTCCCTTCCTCCTCTAGTGGCCAATATGGGTACCCAGATTCTGCCATCTCATTGTATGTCACAAAACACTTATTTCATGGGCTGCTGGTTTCTAAAACTCCTTTCCCCACAACCCACACTGCCTTCCCGCTCACTGGTGCCTCTAGGAAGCCATCATGGATGGCACAGAGATTGCGGTTTCCCCTCGGTCACTGCATTCAGAACTCATGTGCCCTATCTGCCTGGACATGCTGAAGAATACAATGACCACCAAGGAGTGCCTCCACCGATTCTGCTCTGACTGCATTGTCACAGCCCTGCGGAGCGGGTAACTGGAGAGCCATGGTTGAGATGGGGTGAGGGGTATGGAGTTGGACCCTCTCACTGGTCCTGGTTCAGCCTAGGCTTCACTTCCCTGGACTGACGGCTCAGGACTTCCTTACTCCTACTCCAGGAACAAGGAGTGCCCTACCTGTCGCAAGAAGTTGGTATCCAAGCGATCCCTACGGCCAGACCCCAACTTTGATGCCCTGATCTCTAAGATCTATCCCAGCCGGGAGGAATATGAAGCCCACCAGGACCGAGTGCTCATCCGCCTCAGCCGCCTGCACAACCAGCAGGCACTGAGCTCCAGCATCGAGGAGGGGCTGCGCATGCAGGCCATGCACAGGTGCAAGGGTCAGGAGAGAGGCGGAAGCAGGACTAGTGGGACGGGTCTGTGGGTCAGATTCCTAGTACTGTCTTTGCTGCTTGCCAGCTTCTCAGCCTCAGCATCCTAAGAGCTGAGCACGGCCTGTGTTAGGCCTGGAAATTATGGATGTAAATTGTAGTTTCTTCGTAAGCAACTGGCACTGCTTTTCTTAAGAAAAATATAGTTTATCCTCTGACTTTCTAGAAGTTAGAACAGTAGAGTGATTTCGAGAATAAGCTCTGGAGTCATGCTGCTGGGGATTAAATCTCTCACTTCCTAGGCCAGCATCACTTAGCCTTTAATGTGTACCCACGTTACCTGTTGGTCTTGCTAAAAATGCAAACCCTGATTCAGTAGATCTAGAGGTGGGCCTGAGGATCTCCCTTTCACAAACTCCCAGGTGATGCTGTGTGACTAGTTCTTGGACCATACTTTGACAGGAGGGGGCCTATGATCTCAAATAAGTTACTTAATCTCTCTAAGCCTCAGTTTTCTCTGCCATAAAACAGAAATAATTACCTGCATCATAGGATTTGTTGTGTTAGGTGAGGGGATTGGTGCAAAACACTTAGCAGAGCACTTGGCACATAGTTAATGTTTAATGAATATTAGGTATTGTCATTAGGATTTCCCTGATCTCTTAATTCTCTGAAGCTTAAAGTCTAAGCCCCTTATCCTTGATGCTTTCTAACCTTAACCACTTGCTTCTACAGGGCCCAGCGTGTGAGGCGGCCGATGCCCGGGTCAGATCAGACCACAACGATGAGTGGGGGGGAAGGAGAGCCTGGGGAGGGTGAGGGGGATGGAGAGGATGTGAGCTCAGACTCTGCCCCTGACTCTGCCCCAGGCCCTGCTCCCAAGCGACCCCGTGGAGGGGGTGCAGGGGGGAGCAGCGTAGGGACAGGAGGAGGTGGCACTGGTGGGGTGGGTGGTGGCGCCGGTTCTGAAGACTCTGGTGACCGGGGAGGGACCCTGGGAGGGGGAACTCTGGGCCCCCCAAGCCCTCCTGGGGCCCCCAGTCCCCCGGAGCCAGGTGGAGAAATTGAGCTCGTGTTCCGGCCCCACCCTCTGCTCGTGGAGAAGGGAGAATACTGCCAGACTAGGTGAGGAGCCCTGTCTTTCCCCAGACCAGTGAGAAACCAAAGGTCACAGAGATTTCTATCAGAAGTGGGCTTTTCCCAAACCCAGCCCTTTTCGAAAGCCCCACCTCCTTTCCCCATTTGAGGCTTCCTGCGCTCTAAACCCGCTCTCTCTCCCATTCCAGGTATGTGAAGACAACTGGGAATGCCACAGTAGACCATCTCTCCAAGTACTTGGCCCTGCGCATTGCCCTCGAGCGGCGACAGCAGCAAGAGGCAGGGGAGCCAGGAGGGCCTGGCGGGGGTGCCGCTGACACTGGGGGACCTGATGGGGGTGGTGGGGAGGGTGGAGGTGCTGGAGGAGGTGACGGTCCTGAGGAGCCTGCTTTGCCCAGCCTGGAGGGCGTCAGTGAAAAGCAGTACACCATCTACATCGCACCTGGAGGCGGAGCATTCACGGTGAGAGCCTCTGAGGACAGTGGTATACGAGGGGAAAGGAAGGAAGGGTAGGCTGGGGCCACACACGACCAGGAGCCTGACCTCGGAACTCACCGGCCCTCCTCTCTCTCTGCATCCTCCACGCCCT